GTAATACTTGGAAATGAATCAAGTTTGCAATAGTTGCGCTCACTTTTTTCTCTAACCTCTGCAGACGGTGTATAGCTTGGCGGATGTGTCCTGCAAATGTCATGGTGTATCTGGATCATGCAGCCTGAAGACCTGTTGGCTGCAGTTGGCTGACTTTCGCAAGGTTGGAGATGCTTTGAAAGAGAAATATGACAGTGCAGCCGCTATGAAACTCAACATCCGGGGCAAGCTGGTGCAAGTGAACAGCCGCTTCAATGCACCCACTATCCATGACCTGGTATACATTGACCCCAGTCCTGATTACTGTGTGCGCAATGAGAGCACCGGCTCCCTGGGTACCCAGGGACGGCTGTGCAACAAGACTTCAGAAGGCATGGATGGCTGCGAACTCATGTGCTGTGGCCGGGGCTATGACCAATTCAAGACAGTGCAGACAGAACGCTGCCACTGCAAATTCCACTGGTGCTGCTACGTCAAATGCAAGAAGTGCACAGAGATTGTAGACCAGTTTGTCTGCAAATAGGTGGGAATGGGTGGAAGGAGCTGTTCTGGTCTGCCAGCAGCAGTGGTGCAGGGGAGGGGCGCCCCAAGAGGATCTCCGCTCTTATTTATATGCATCTGGCTCAGACTGTGCATAGTTTTATTTTTTGCAATAAAGGGGGAGGGGAGGGGACCAAGATAATATTTATTTTACACAATTGGAAATACGACTTTAAAAAGAAAGATAGAGTAGTTCAAAGGGAAGTTTGCCCTATCCCCATATAGTCTCATGAGACATAGTGCATATGGAGTAGATGAGGTACCTGTTGTTCCATGGTTCGGTGAATAACAAGAATAGCCCTTACATACGTGGTGACATGGAACATGATATTTCTCTTTAGCTCTAGGGACCAAAAAGAAACCAAATAGGAAAAAAACAATCAGATATAAGGTTGATTGGTTGATCTATAATTTTTGACATGAATTTTTTTCCCTCACCATTAGTTGAATGGCAACTTGAAGGTATGAGTGAAAGCACAAATTCTGAAGTCACAGGTGCGCTGCTAGGTGATATCTGGAGACCCATGAATTGAACATGGTGTCTTCTATGGATGCTTGGGATAGTTGTGAATATGTATTGTAGAGGTGATACCAGCAAAAGAAATGCCCACGAAAGAGTCCTAAGATGGCAAGTTGCCAATCTTCCATCAGCTCCACTCTGGCAATGCATTTTGTCACTGTTCTCAATAGAAAGAAGAAGGCATGGTTATTCATATGGGTTAAGAACAGTTCTTGTTTTGAATTATTTTCCAAAGCCAAGAGTCTAAAAAATGTGGTTTTGCTTTGTAGATCAATTCAGAATTTGGTGCATAGCCACATCAAGTAAAATATACATATATCATATCATACATATTTTAAAAGCCTTGACTTTTAAGAATATTGAAATGATCTGTGGAATTTTCTAAAGCGTGTGTGCTAGTAGTAACTGTGCTAGAAATTGCAGCTGTGCTGTGCATGCCGCCTGCAAAGTTCTTGCGAAAAAGAAAGCCAAAAGAATTGTTCACCTGAGAATGAAAGTGTTGTGGATAGTTGGTTTCATTTCAGACGTGGAATCTGACCAATTAACATTGGAGAATTTGAGCTGATGATACAGTAGCTTGATGTTTTCATAAGTGACTACTATGGTTCAACATGCAGTATGGCAGCAATACTACCCACTTTACCATCCTGTGTTTCTTTCTTTTTTGTTTT